ATCATCCTTAGACATTTTTTAAACGATACGTGCCATTTTTAAATTGGCATTTTAATAATATTAATATAGTTTAAAGATCGTAGCGCACTTTAATGTATAAACATTTGAATTTGTATAAAAAATAATTTTGAAAAATTAAACATTTAGAAGACGATTAATTTCGATAAGATATTGAAATACATAGAGAATTCAAAAGATTCGTAGACACCTTTTCACCTATAAAAGTATCGACTCGCCAATTTTTTCTCTCCGAGAAAATCAATAGAGGACGAAAAATGGTAAAAATAGTTTCACGGAAATAATAAAAATAGTTTTATGAAAATGGTACAACGTTGCGAGAAACTCGTAGCTCGCGAGTCGGGATTAAACTTTCTAATGAATGAACCGTAGACTTGGGTGAGTAATGTAACGCGCTGCGTATAATTAATGGCTACGAGTTTAAAGACAACTTTGCGCGATTAAGCAACGCGATACATACTTGCTATTCGCGTGTGAAGAATGGCGGAACGTCACGGCTGAATTTCCAGAACTCTCATTGAGAGCCTTTGAATTTCAACCCAAACGAGAACAAAGCTGCTGCTCGAAATTTTTTATGAAGGTCTCTCAAGTGTCGAACGTTAAGCGCCTCCCTTCAAAGTTTCATTTCTTTTCTAAAGCGTCAACCACTCGCCTGCGAGAGAATTAATTCCTCGTTTACCGAAATTCCACAAAATATTTCACGCGCATTTCATTTCGACGAACGAATGCTTTTGCGAGCTGCGTCAGCTCGAGTTTTGAAAATAAGGAACGTGGCCAAAACAACGAACGATATATCCGATGTTCATTTCGCCGCCTTCTGTTTTCCTACAGGGCAGGAACGCTTACGTTAATGAAATCCGTTCGTGGAAGATCCTCTCGTAAAAGCTAGTGCCTAGAGGTAAAAAGTGCTGACGAAATTAAAAGCTGCTACTCCCGGATCTCTTGACATTAGGTCGACGTATAACGCTTCTATTTAAATATTTCCGCAAGCGTTTAGTTATTTAAATTTATAATTAAGACCAATGAAATACATTTTGTCTCAATGTCATTTTGTCTGTTTGTGTTCATTCAATTTAATCATGAGAATTTATAATGAATTTATAATGAATATTTTTTCCGACGAAAAGATTATTTCATTATAAGATTACAAATTTTACAATCAAAATTATTCCGCAAAGATAGTGAGATAATAATGCATTTGTTTAGAGATATGATGACTGGAATGAGAAATGCCGGCCAGCAAGAATTTAAGCGTGTATTATGTAATTGTGTTGAAATTATGTAGCGCGTAAATTAGCACAATCACGAGCGACTTGAGCATCGCGGATGCATATATTTCAATAACGTGGTAAGAAACGTCAGGGAGAATCGTCACGCGAGAACAAAACATTTTATATCCCATTGATATACGCGACTCGTGCGAGACATAATATAATCTCATGAATGTCGCGCGTGAATTAATCGCGTCTAATGTTTGCATTTGCAAGTGATACGAGCTCGCACGATTATTCGTCACGCGTTGTAAACTGGGAAATCATCGCTCTTGTCATCCTTAAAAAATGGCGGAAAATTTAATTATCCGGCATTATTAAATTCCCTACAGTTGGGAATTAATTACGTCAAGTTGATAAGACTCGACGACGACTCTCGCGTAAGAATTTCCGCAGACAGTTTAAAAAAAAAAAAAAAAGAGTCCCCTCGTCGACGTAGCGTGCAGCCCGTATGTATATCGCGTCATTATTTCGCCGTCTCGTTCCTGGCATAGGAATAAAATTCTAATAGCGCGGTTGTACAGCTCGATTCTGCGTGCGCTTTCTCGCGTAGAATTCGCTCTGCTTTCTGCCTCCCTCCCCCATTTATTCCTCCTCCGGTCGGAGAACTTCCCGTCTTATCGCAAAAATCAGTAATTAAGTTACGTTTCCCTCGGTACCCTCGCCGAACGAACGAACGTGCGATGAAACGATTTCGAAACGGCAGCGGCCAACCCCTCTTTTAGCTCGCGGCAGGGCCGTTCTTCGCGAAGAGCGAAGATTACGAGGAGGGGGAGGTAGGGGGAGCGCATCTCTTATTAAATCTCGGCGCGGAATTATTATTAAACTACGCGTATTATCCGTCGTGGGATCGTTCGAGGCGCACGTTTCAGAGGTTTACTCGCGATCGTAAACGTCCCCGATCGTGCGTTTCGCGCGACTAGCTTTTCCCGTCAAGTGATACGAGTTTCGCGCGCGCGGATTTTATTAATTTCCGGATTATAGCTCCGCTTCTCTCGCCGCTACAAACGCAATTTCGAATTAATCAATACCGAACACAATTTCCTCCCTAGCCCTGCCGGGAGCTAAACGCGCGACCGAGTGTCAAATTATAGATTCAGAAACGCGCACGAGAGCTTTTCTCTCGTGCGCTTTTACCGCCGTTCAATTAGCCGCGCAGGGATGGTGACGCAAAAAGGGCCGTTTTAGTCTCGTTATCTTTAGTCCTGCATTTAACAAAGAAAAAGAGCGGTCAAAGCGGAATTTATAGTACGAAGCGTTTTAACGACGTTTTTACGCCGCTCCGCTTTGGAAAGATAAATTGCGAAGCCGGTGTTCGCGATTCCCGTGTCCGTTTTTATCGATATTCCGATATTTTATCGAAAATATCACTATCTCGAAATATGTAACGACGAAAATATATTATAACGTAACCGTCATTATTCGCGCAAACAAGTCTCTCGCGAATTTTTTTGCAAAATTTGCGCGATTTATTAATCGCTCTCGCTTTTTCAGGAAATAAAGGAGAGGCCCATCCTTCTTCCTTTCCCATTCTCGTTTCTTTATCTCGATGATACGAAAGTTAACGCGACACACCGCACTGTTCGAATTATCCGCAAACTCTATTCCGGCAGAATCGTCCTCGTGGAATTCCCTAGCATATCTCGAGATATTGATTTTGCGACACGATTTGCCGGGGATGTCCACAGCGCAGCACACGCTCGGGAAATAAATCCGCGGAGACGCCTAAGCGAAAGGAAGGAAACGTGAGAAATCGCATTTGGTAAGTTCTATGGAACTTATGTCATTTTGTCGATTATGGAAAATCGACCAGCTCATCCGTCACGTCTGCGAACGAGAACGTAACCGAGGGAGAGGCAGCACCGAGAGAAAAGCGGCGGAAAAAAGGCACATAAACGTACGCGACAAAGTGAAATGGATTAATCGGAGATTCAAGAGGGCTCAGGAGAGAAAAAATTCAAACTCTCTCGGGAGGGATCGGTAACTCGAATCGGTAACATGAATAATCAAGAGACTCGCATTAATCGGAAAACACTTATGCTACTGCTTATTGATTTTCCATTCTACCTGCGATTCTGTTATTTGCTCGTCGGATGATAATTTCAGATATATTTATAATTTATATATATATCTAATAAATCGCTCCTGGTGGAAGTTTGTATTTTGTATAATTATTTTCTCTCGTTCCATTTGTAATGAAGAGAACTCAAAATTTCGAGAAACTCGAAATACTCCGAAATATTTCCTCATTACTCCAAAATATTTGTTCACCACTCAGAAATATTTTCTTCGGCTCGCATTCTTTTTCACAGATGTATTCTTAGATCGACGCGAGACACCTTCGAGCGACGGTTTGCTGACGGCGTGTAAAATTTGGTTCAGGCAAAACCAGTTGGTCGTAAATCACGAAAGGCGTGAACACCACGACGGCCGATATAATTCACGCGATTGCGCGATATCGGAAAATCTCGGAGAGCAATCCGAGAGAGTCGGCTATCTAATGTCGTTTTAAATATAAAATAAATAAACAATGAAAGGGCTATGCGCCGGCGAGGCGCCCAACAGATCCGATCTTAATGGAGGAACGACGATGATTTAGATAAGGTCATTTTACGGCGGTCTAAATTAACACGTGACGCTCGGCTTTATATATTTCTCGTTTCAAGTTCACTCGAGCGTGTTGCATTCCTGCCCCGACTAATCTTGGTCGTTGCGTAATGCATATATTCATATGGAACTTGATTATAATAATTAAATTAAAATTAATTATTAAATTATAATTAAATTGCATTATGAAACTGTAATTAAATTAATCATTGTGAGCGATTCAGTTTAATCCGCGTGCGTTGATTAATTATCGTAATTCGCAAAAAGCTGCGAGAGAAGAAATCAATAAAAATGGTATCTCGTTTCGGCTTTACAAAAAAAGGGACAATTTTAGGGCGCGTTAGTTTTTCAAAGAGGCGAACACTTTGAGAAGGGCTAGGAAGGAAATTCGCTATTATTAAGGTCAACATCCATATTGATGAAGATCCTCGAACAATAACGGGCGTTAAATCCGAACGAGAGTAATAAAACGATCGACTGAGATACGCGTAAAGTTGGAGTTATCGCGCGTTTATTCTCACTAATATTGATCTCAATATCGCGCGTCGATCATAATCGAGTGATTATCGGGACATATAAAATGATAGTGACTTTCGCCACCAGATTTACAACGTATTGCGATTGCGTATCGCACGCGTTTCCTTAATACGCCGACCTAAAATAAATTACCGGCACCTCTTTGTTACTCGGTCTAACAAATTTGATGCGATAAGACGACAGCCCTCACAAAAGTAGCACCTCTTAAGCCGACTGCCTATTGCCTAAATAACTCGCATCCAAGTCGGTAAGATAATACGAATGATTGACGATCCACTTTCGGCCCCTTCAAAAGGGACAGCTAATGTTTCTATAGTCGGTGGACTGGAAGAGAGAGGGCGAAGAAACGTACTATCAGCGAAAAGAAAGTTGCGCGATAAAAATATCACGAAATGAACTTTCTCGTCGGGAGACGGAAAGGAAGAAATTATTCGCGGGACGCTACATCGATTATAATAAAAAATGCAAATAAAAAAAATCCAGATATGAAACCGGAGCAAATAATTCGCGCCCGTTAAAGATTCAATTTTATTTTGACTGAAATCGTTTGTTTGCGCTTCGTTGCAGGTAACAACAATACCGGACGAGGGGGAGGATAATTTCAAAATGCCCAGGGCTTCCGTAGTACACATGGCATCGACGGCGACGAGACCGCAGCACATGTCACAGGTATCTACACAATATCAGAGGGTGTCATTAAGTTTGTTAAGTAATACTAGACTCGGTTGCTTTATACCGCGCCTTCGGTATGATTAAAAAATAAATATCTTGTGTATATATCGAGTGAATACTCCTTCAAGGTTTGTATGGCGATGACATAAGATGTCAACAAATATCCTGGAGACGCGCTTTCTAATCTAATCCTTGCGGCTCGAATTTACGATCATGAGTTTACTCGAGTATCCTCCGGAGCGATATAATTCTTAAATAATCCGGCGCGATAAATCCTTTTCTCCTTGGCAAAAGGCCATATTGATATGCAAACACCCAAGATAGCAGTGAGCGTAATTGAGTGGTCCGGTTTAAAATGGATATCGAGTCGGGAAGGGACGGAGGCTTTCGGTAGGGAAAAAGACCACCGTCGTACACCCACTCGTATACTCGGTGTGCACTTAGCACGGTACCAGGCCGACCATCCTCATAATCGTGTAAGCGGCGAGACGACTTTTAAAGCTCGTTTTTTTTCCGTCTCCCTTTCTCCTCTCGCCTTCCTTCACCCATGGTCGGCTAATAGTTTTAAGCTAATGGCTCCGCCGGCTAACTTGAACCCGATGCACATCCCCGCGCTTGCGGAACCACCCCGAGTATTCGCACGGCTCGATGCAAACGAGCTTTTAACGTCGCATCTGCGCGAGAGGAAGAGAAACGCGCAGAAGAAGCGTATCGAAAGAAAGTATGCCGAAAAGTCATATCGCCAGATACGATTCGCAAGCGGAAGCGAAATTTTTTTACGTTCGAGAAAGACAAGTACGCTGGTACTCGCGTAGAAATTTTTCAAGATTTTCTCAGATATAGCACAGCCTTTCAAATTTGCTCCAAATCAATATATCGATATTACGATATCGATTAAAAATTCCATTTTTACTCCAAATATGAGTTTCGATCTGGAAAGAGGTGCAGAAATTCATATTTTTTTTTAGTAGATCAGGTTAAGTAAAATTGGCATGCTTTTTTAAAATTAGATAAGAAATTTCATTTTTATATTGCATTTTTTCTCAATGAAATAACAAATAAAAGTATTTATAAATTTTATTTATAAATAAAAGTATTAATTTCTCTATTTATCGCTTAACTGATTTCTTAGCTCCATTCGATTAATTCAGAGTTTTGACAAAAATTAAATATCGGTCACCGTTAATTGAACCGTCTTAAATTTCTATCTGATCAGAGTATCTTAAATATTCTGCTTAATCGTAATAAAATTTTGAGAAAACATTAAAGAAAAGGAAATGGAATTTGCTCGAGTTTTTCGCTTAAACTCGCGTTTCTAAAACATTACAATCTTGATCCGAATCTTTACTAGAACCAGTAATGGTTGTTTTAAAAAATCCGACTAGATTACAATTAGCACAATCCCGGAAGTTTTATCCATTACCTACTCTCGTCGCGCGCGACGATCGTGCGTTTTTCTCCAGCTCGTTAAGATTCCTCGCTCGTGTCATTAATAGAAACCGTTTGCTTCGTCTCGCGGACGATGCAAATGCCGCGGCTCGTATATACAGATAAATGCCGCTCGTATACTCGGGTCTCGCGAACCGTAATTAATATTCCAAATTCTCCGCTATACCGCTCTATAAAACAAAACGGGAAACTTATCGGCGCTCATTACCGTTACCCAACGTTTTCCTGAATGCGCCATTCATCGCGCGGCGCGTCTCGATAATTAGTCGAAGAAAGCGACTCGGGCACTCGTAAACTTATGTCTATTATCCGCCATTTGCCGCTCACGGATGTCGTGTTGTACGAATAATCAAGACCGACAGCATCCTACGTGTTCTCCAGCATTTTTGCTCCAGTCCCACGCGAAGAATTGCGTTATTCAAAGAATAAAAATTACTAAAGAAATTGTTGTAAGAAAAGATTAATAACGTAATGACGAAAACAAATTGCGGAAAATATAAAGTTTACTTTTAATTAACGATTCGAATTCTCGTGAATAAATTGTATAGTGCGTCTGTATCGTTGCAAAAATCTCGATAGCATCGCGCAAAAAGCAACGCGAGTCGTAAATTGCATCTCCTCTCTCGAAATCGATAGTCTAATAATCACGCGCCAATTAATCGATGAGAAACGCGCAGAGCTACATCTGATTGCATTATAATTTTCACACGATCGGCGGGCGTAGAGAGAAAGGAACAAAAAGAGCCAGGAAAGGTTTAATTGCAAAGCGGCGCTTGAGGCAACCTACGCATTATTATCCAGGAGAGATAACGGTATCGTGCGTCTCTCTGGCGACACGATGGAAAGGTTACACGGCGACACGTCTAATCGCGTATTATGAATTGTTCTATGCGCGCTTCTAATGGCCAGCGAGATAATTGAAAGTGCATGCAAATTTATGTGGGATCGGCGCTTGAAATGCCTTATCGAACACGCGACTGCTGCGAATACGAGTCAGCTGATCATCGCGCCATCGACAGTTTTGTCTCGCACGTATTCGCCATTAAATTTCGCGCCTATTGACGAAAGATTAGAGTGTAATACGATAAATATCGGTATTTTTATATAACGGATATCGCGCGAGTAACGCGACTTTATGGGTCAATTGAGTTTTTTATGGAACGAGATAAACGATATTAAATCGTTCAATATTCACTTGAATCAGCAGAGATCGAATAATTTTTACTTCAGAAATGGACTTAACGCGAGGAAATATTCATGCAAATTATATTTCCGATTTTCTCAATTATAGCGAATTTTGTATTTTAACAAATCTCTATCTGTTTAAGATGAAACAAATTATGTGAAAAAGTCATTGAATTCCGTAGAGATCGAATAATTAATAATATACAGAATATCACGTAATATAATTTACTTTAGAAATGAGCTTAACGCAAGGAAATATTTATGCAAATTACATATCCGATTTTCTCAATTATAACGAATTTTGTATTTTAACAAACCTCTATCTGTTTAAGATGAAACAAGCTATCTGAAAATGTCATTGAATTCAGTAGAGATCGAATAATTAATAATATACAGAATATCACGTAATATAATTTACTTCAGAAATGGACTTAACGCAAGGAAATATTCATGCAAATTACATATCCAATTTTCTCAATTATAGCGAATTTTATATTTTAACAAATCTCCGTCTATTTCAAATGAAACAAGCTATCTGAAAAAGTCAAATTGAATTCAGTAACAGTATCGTTATCATTTTTAATCGGACGTATCTCGAATGTATCTCTCGAATTTCCCCTCGCATCGTTCCTCCGCGCGAATTCATCTCCGCACGAATTTATTTCGTTGTTTACCTAGGGAAACGATATACAGAGTGCACACGGAACAAACTTGCGCGCGTTCACTATTGTCGCGTAAAGGACGCATATAGCGTCGATGTACGGCGTCACGGCACTTTGAAATAGCTTTTGTACGTGTGTACGTACGTATACGTACGTAAGCGCGGGCCACGCCAAATGTTTAGTATTCCTCGCGAGGGGCCAAGCCTAGCTTTCAATTTGCGGCTAGCAATTTGTTCGCCGGTTGCGTCCCGTGGCAGGGCGGATTCGCGCGATGCGAGCTCCAGATATGCGTATACATCACCGGAGCGTCATAAAGCGTGGATAAATTTATACCTAGCGCTTCTGTTTTCCGCAATTTCGAACTCTCTGATTCACGATTATATTAGTAGACAGAATGGGATAGAATAGGAGTTAGCTAAGATAGAAAGTTGACAGACAAAATTGATAAAAAAAAATTCAGATTCATATTTCTTTTTATATCGATTTTAAACTTTCAAATTTAAATATAGAATCGAGAGAGCATCTTAACATGTGAAAATGTATGAATACAATATACGGATAGAAATTTTTTGATATTGGATCATTATAGGAGTTTATATACCGATTATTTTCGATATGGAACTTTATGATCTTTATAGGACGATTACAGAGGATCGAGCAAAGCATTATAAAAGCATTATACGTAAATTTTATATACTCGGCGACATAATAAACAAGCTGACGCATACGCCGCGTGCCTACATAAATTCTTTAATATTAGCGTAAAAAGACGGTAGAAAATTTACGCCCGAGTTTATCAAAATATTTCACTTGTCTCGGTAGGTTCTGGCGACTTTGGCACTATCTATGGGAACTCTTTCGTCCGGTTTGGCCAAGGGCTACACCTCGCCAGCGTTGGACTCGATTTTGGACAACCAACGGCCGCATCTTTATCAATCATCGAACAATGACACGTGGTAAGAATTTTCGTAAAATTATTTGACATGATAAAAAAGTTTGAATAATATACGTTGCAATCGATAATAATGTACCGCATCGAGTTTCGAAATCTCGATAAATATCAACAATTAACGTTCACGCCGCCTGTAATAGCTTTCGCTTCTGGTGACTAATTCCGGGATGCGAGAACAACAAACTCATTCTCTCTCTTTCCCTCTACTCGAGAGCTGTTCGCAAATAATACTCGACAGACGAGACGTCGCGGCCAAGAGCGATTACATTTGCACCTGACGCTTGCCGACTCTGACAACAGCCAATAATATCGAGGGTGTCTCTTCCTGGATTACTGCTGTTGTTGGCGACAATTAAAGCAATAATTAAACTATCATCGGGATCGTAATCGCGCTTTCGATTTGTCGCAGGTCGGCTTTCTCGATTACCCAACAGGAAGCTTCGTGGGTCGCGTCGCTGTCAATGCTGGGCGCATGGTTCGGCGCTATGATAGGCGACTGGATAATGCGACGAGGTCGACGTTTGGCTCTGCGCGCTACATCTCTGCCCTTGGCGGGGGCCTGGGTCTTGACGGGCGTCGCGCCTTGCGTGGAATTGGTGTACGTCACCAGTTTTATCGGCGGTCTTTGCTGCTCGGTCATCACCATGGTGGCTCAGGTAAAGAAAAGGAGGAAGAAAAGTAAATCGATCCTCGAAACTCTCTTGTCGACCGACGTATGTATCGTACGTGTTTCTTTCATGGCAGGTGTATATATCGGAAATCTCGATGCCGGGCATCCGCGGCTGTTTGTCGGCCATGTTGAAGGTGCTGGGTCACGTCGGTGTCCTGCTGTCGTACATAGCCGGGACGTATCTAAATTGGCGGCAAAGCGCGCTACTGGTCGCCGTCGCGCCGTCGATGCTCTTTTTGGGAACTCTCTTTATACCCGAGACACCCTCGTACCTCGTCCTGAACGGCAAAGACGACGAGGCCGCGAATAGTTTGCAGTGGCTGCGCGGGGAACATGTCGATATACGACACGAGCTCCAGGTGATTTTTGATAGAGCGACGCGAGTATACATATCTGCTTACTTTTATTAAGTTGTCTCTCGAATCAAGATTTAGAAAACAAATTATTCTCAATTCTCAACGATTAAATGGACGTCTCTAGGTGATAAAAACAAACATTCTGGCTTCGAGGGTAAAGCAATACGAACTGAGCTTCAAGAACAGCGTGTTTACGCCGAGGTTGTACAAACCCATCGCAATCACGTGTGGCCTGATGTTCTTCCAACGATTCTCCGGCGCAAATGCGTTTAATTACTACGCGGTACTCATCTTTCGTCAGACTCTGGGCGGGATGAATCCTCACGGAGCGACTATAGCGATCGGATTCGTACAGCTATTGGCCGCTTTATTGTCAGGTATCTCATCATATATTAATTGATAAAAATAAATTTCTTAAATTACATTAGAAAGATTATCATTGAGTATATTAAATAAATTATAATTCCAAATATGCAGAAATAAAATTAAGCTCCCTTTTGTCAAAAATATTACTTGTCCTGCTTAAGAAATGGTATTGTTCGCAGGATTCTTAATCGACATCGTCGGCAGGCTGCCGCTTCTAATAGCCAGCACCGTTTTCATGTCCCTGGCGCTCGCCGGTTTCGGTAGCTACGCGTATTACGTGTCAAAAACGCCAAATTTAGGATACGTGGACTCGGCCGTGGTCGGCCAGCACGATTGGATACCGTTGCTCTGCGTGCTCGTATTTACGACCGCCCTTGCGCTGGGCATATCGCCAATTTCTTGGCTATTGATTGGCGAACTGTTTCCCTTGGAGTACCGCGGCCTCGGATCCAGCATCAGCACGAGTTTCAGCTACTTCTGTGCGTTTTTCGGGATCAAACTTTTTATGGACTTTCAGCAGGTGAGCGTTTACATTTTCCGTTTTCTATTTAAGGCAAGTCGATTACACAGAAAAAAATAAGTGTTAAATCAAAATTTATTTATTAAACTAACGCGTTCATTGTTTCGTATGTACGCAACAATTTATAATTTTCTTAGAAGAATTTAATAATTTTAAATTTCAACAATATTATAGTCTTATTTTAACATTGTAATTGTCATCTCTATAATATATAATTATTTAATTCTACTTTAAGAAAATTATAATCTTTGATTGAAAAATGTTATTTTCTATCTAACATTGTTTCTTTTCCATTCAAGAAAATTAAATCATAAGAATATATTTTTCTCGATTGAACTATATAAAATGGCTTCATTCAAATAAGCAATTATTCAATCAATTATATTTTTCTTTAATTAACGCGATATAATCTCATTTCAAGATTCCCATGTTAAAACTAAATATATTTTCAAAACAAAAATGTCCTTTTTTTCTGTGTATGAATCAAGTTTTAGATTACTAGAAATGTGTAAGAGAAAATTTATAAGATATGTAAAAGTTTCCTCTCCTATAGACGCGCAGTGGATATTTAAGTTTAAAATTTTTTTTACTTACATCCGGATCTATTATCGCCTGCTATCATTAATTGATAATGAATCTTTGCCATCTCTACCGCACAGAAAAAGAAGACATTCTTATTTTGAAGATATATTTAGTTTTAACATGGAAATTTCGAAATGAGATTATATCGCGTTAATTTAAGAAAAATATAATTACTTGAATAATTGTTTACTTGAATGAAGCCATTTTATATTTAGTTCAATCGAGAAAAATATAGTCTCATGATTTAAGATTTAATTTTCTTGAATGAAAAAGAAACAATGTTGGATAGAAAATAATATTTTTAAATCAAAGATTATAATTTTCTTAAAGTAGAATTAAATAATTATATATTCTTGAGGTGACAATTACAATATTAAAATAAGACGATAATATTGCTGAAATTTAAAATTATTCAATTCTTCTAAGCAGATTAGAAATTGCTGCGTATATACGAAACAATGAACGCGTTAGTTTAAGTATATAAGTTTTGATTTGACGCTTCTTTTTTTTCTGTGCGTTAATAATTAAAATGGTTAAAAGGGGGAATGAAATGAAGAGGGGAAAAAATGTCGAAAAATCCCGCAAATTTGTTTTAGAGTCTCGGTCTACACGGAGCCTTCTGGTTTTACGCCGGCGTGGCGATCTGCGGGCTATGCTTCGTCGTCTGCTGCGTGCCCGAGACGAAGGGTAAGCAGCTGGACGAGATGAATCCGGATTACGCGCAAGCACGGTAGTATAAGGCTTCGCTGACGGGGGGCCTCTCGAATCTAGAGAAGGCGAACAAGCCTTTACCGGGAGGCGCTTATCCGAACGAGCACGATCCGCGCGATCTGTATCGCAGCGATCGGCCGGTCGCGACTTCCGCCGGCATCGCGATGCCGTCCGCCCGCGCCGCGCATCGCAAGCTGTCGGATTACTGCGGCATCTTCGCCGAGAAGACGAACCGAATCGGCAGGAACGTGGGCAGCTTCATGCAATCCCGCGGCCTGCTACCGATTCGTCGCTCGGTCGACGAGACGGCAGCGCGTCCCGCGCGTCGCGACGCTTCCAGGATCAACGGCGACGTCATCAGAAACAATCCTATGATCCCGCGAGCCGATCTCGAGACGAGGGAGAATCGTCGTCGACGTGACGAGAATCGCGATCACGAGCGGGACGCAAACGCGCTCAACAAGCACGTGATGTACTCCAATAGCACTTACCCGCGGGACGCGCGAGCCAACGCGAGTTACGTCCATCGTGCCAACGAGACGGAACCTCGTCGCTCCAGGAGGCGCGAGTACGCGGAGGCGAGTTACGAGACTACGGACGAGATCTGGGCAGGTATGGGGGCGAGGGGAGGTCCGAGCGTCTCCAAGCCGATTCTGAGAAACGGCATCAATCACGGGGGAGACGAGAGGCCGTATTACTCGACCCTGCCGCGACGCAGCAGGACCATCAACTTCAAGGATCAAGCGCGCGACTCCCCGGAGGGACGCCAACGCGCGTATCCCAAGAGCCTGCAGGATCTAACGGATTTGGAGCTCGACGACATCGCGTATTTCCCGTCCTCTCGCGGAGCCCGTCGAGAGAAGAGACTCGACGACGATTATCGTCGACGTGCTCGGGATCGTCGAGAGGAAGACGACATCGCCTTTGATGACGATTATCTCAGACTCTGCCGGAATCTGTCGAGATTGGACGGGTACCCGCGAGGCGGCAGATACGAACCGGGCCAGGTGCACTATGAGAGAGAATGCAGGACTTTCGGCAAGGATACGGTCGCTTTCATCTACTACAAGACGTGCTACTTGTGATCGAAAGCTCTCTCGTTGATAGACCGTCCAGCGTTACGCACGGTTTACGATCTCGCGCAGAAATTCGAACGGTCGGTCGAATCTTTTTTTTCTTCTCTCGAACGTATTTAACGAGTGGCGGACACGTTTTCTATTTGAAATCGGGCTAGATTTTTGTGAGACGGAATAATTTAGTAAATCAGTAGATGAAACGTACCAGGAAAATTCCCCTTCTCGGCAGATTCATATCTTCTTGACGATAACATATCTATAAATCGCGATATAAAACATATTCGTGGAGGAAAAGGGAAAAAAAGATTTAAACAAAAAAAAATGATCGAGTAATCGAGTCACAAATTGCCTTCGTGTCTGGCTTTAATAATTAAATCATTTCTCGACTGATAATAAAGTTATATCATCGAGCTTTATATATATATACATATATATATATATATATATCGTTGCTCCTATAAAACTTATCTGAAAAAGCGTGATATCTCTTTAGAAAATATCCTACAGAGAGAGTTAGGTTCATATTTGGTTTTCTACGCGGTATAAACCATTACTCCAGAAAATATCTTATATACTTCGCACATTTTATCTTATCGAAATATTCTTAAACACTTTTAAATCTCAATTTTAAGAAATATAATATTCGAAAACGGCACCAAGATATACTTGTGTATACTAGCGTTAGATCGAACATATAAAATCGCAACGTGTGCTTTATTTATTTTTTATTACTTTTCAGAAGTATCGCAATCCTTTTCATCAGCAATTACATGGTTTGTTAATAAATTTCCGATAAATATCCCAAGCTCACTCAAATCAAGAAGCAACATTTCAATGCTCTTCACGAAAGCACATATAACATTTTACGCGAAGAAAAATATGTGCATATATTGTATATAAATGAAATTAAATGATATTGACAGAGTCCTTAGAATAGGATCGATAGACTGCTCGTAGACTGCCAAGCAGATCTTTCCGCAAGGTAATCAATATATAATGAGTTTACGATGACTTTCGCTGCTATGTTTTCAGGCTATTAATGACGCTCGCACATGTATATTCTTTGCGAGAAAATCGCGCGCGACGGAAAAGAAAATTATTAATTAATGCTGAAGATGACATATAGCCGAATACTACAGAGTACGTTATCAATGAAGGCGCATTAATGTATCCTTTGCGTACAAAAGTAGAATATATCCTTCGCTAAAAACAGAATACTCTGGGGCCTCCTCGTAGTCCAGGCGCCAATGACTTAACTATGACAATATCGATTAGCAGATACGTCTACATATATTATACATATATTATATACTATGTTTCGTATAAGATGCGTATATTGCGTATATATGGATTATTATATATTATACATATATACGAGACTCCATTATATTCGTGGCACTTATCGCCGTTAATTGCGGCGATACAGATAAACAAATTCTCGACAATACCACAATTTGCCAATTTCGCGAAACCGCTAGAGCGAGAGAAATTTGGTACTATTAGCTTATTAAGAGATCACATATATATATATATATATATATATATATATATATATGTACTTTGAAAGCAGTTATACTAAATATTCATACGAAGGCGAGTCGTATCTGACATTCGCTATTTCTCAAGGTCTCCTGCTTTCGACCATTTCCTGCATTTCTCTAAAGTACAGCCATTCGTACATTTGAATGGCAAAGTCGCGATTAGAAAGTCTCCGTAATGACGTATGTGTATTTTGTATTTTTATATAGTTTGTAGGACGAGAGCGAGAAAGAAAAAGCAGCGAGGTATACACATATTCGTGACGAAGCATTTGTTAAAAGTCGACTGCACTTTGTGGATAACAGTTTGCATCGAGTGATAATCTTCTCGCGGAGAAAGATTTCCTCGAAATATCTTGGATATTAAAGCCACGACGTAAGAAAAACGCATATTATAAATTGAATTTGACGGTCTGATACACATGTAAAGAGGAGATCTTTCTTCGCGCGGGTCGTGAAAACGGAACTTCTCTCATATCTGTAATTATTAACTATACCCGTGAGTCATATCCCTGCCATATCCGATTATTATAACGAAGTGTATGAAAGTCTCACAAGCGCATTGAGGATTCCCTGTACTCAAAATATTTTCGCGTGTTTTTGTAGACAGTGATCGATCGATGCGGGGGAGGAAGAATTTGCGTTTGCGCGAACTATCGATTCGTAAAGTACATTCCACTTTTTATACACGCACGACGCGAGAGAAATATATATACGATAAGCGAGGAAAATCATATTATCAGCGTCGAGATATCGTATAAATTGGGAGGGTAACATATCATTCAAAGATTCTTAATGCGATCGCTATCGTACATTACTGTCTACAAGAGAGAGAGAGAGAGAGAGAGAAAGAAGAAAACATATTATCTTCCCAAACGTAAATATCTAAATCTATGTTAGAGTGTTCTGAAAAAAAATATACACCAGCGCTCTAATAAAATTGTAATTAATATTTTATTGCAAAGAAATTTTTCTTGATATATTATTTTTCCATTTTTTTATACAAATGTTAAGTACTTTGGTAATTAAATCGTACACGTTTTATAGAAAATATAATTATATGTTACATATATATAATTTCTTACACTTTGAAAATTTAATCTGCTAAATTCATCTAATTAAGAAAAAATTTCATCAAAGTAACATCCAATTAACGTTTAAAGATATTCCGATTTAAAAAAAAAATGATATTTTAGTGGTATATATATTTTCAAAACACCGTATACTCTTTATGATGCTCAAGGGCTTGGATACAGTATTGGGTAATTTTAGTCTGTAATTAGTTTTAACGCGCGATGTGCAACATGCTCGTGAAACGAGCGCGTGTACGTAGGATAAACAATCAACCTCCAGATTTTATCGATAGACTGTAAAGATTCTCGATCGTGATGAAATTATCTCTCGTTCTTAGTATATACCGCGCCGAATAAGCGAGCTTTACTACTGCCGAAATGGCATAAATGAATAAATTCGCGACCACACCTTACGTGGGATCTTCCATGTAAGCGAAAAAAAAGAAGAAAAAAAAAGAAACGATATATCCTCTCCTCTCCTTCCCCCCCCCCGTAGATACGTTATAAACTACGTAAAAGAAAAAAAATTAAAAAAAAAAAAAATCTGCACTGTGCACTTTCGTGAATTGAAAATTTGTCGTAAAATACATAGCGGTAAAAATGGAATTTTCACAACCGAAGATTTCGCATTACCGCACATTTAGTCTTCACGATAAATCCGATATAAATTGATATCTATTATCGCATTATTTACGCGCGCGAGTGTGTGCATGCGCATGTGTCTGGGAGAGCAATCGCGTGTGATTGTGCGTGCAATTGTACAAAATAATGAACGAATTCGACGAGCGCTTTTAGATACTTTACTCCTTTTAAGCGGAAACCCGAGAAAAATATTAGATCGCCGAAGAGACCGAAATAAAAATGTTAATCCTAATTGCGATAGAGCGAATTAAAAATGCATACACTTAGCACGTTGCAATCAAATTACGAGTAAATAGGGATTCAATCTAGAAAAAAAATCAAGATATGTTACACGCGATATATATATATTATACCCGGGCGTGAGAGAATAGTTTTTCCTCTGGAAAGAGGATCGTAAATTACGTATAATTCTACTTAATGACAATAAAACCACTATATGCAATTTACTGACAATAAATGATATTCAGATGAGAATTATAGCGCTGGTCGTCGCTAACGAGATGATTATAAATCTTATATGTCGTGTTATATATCGTCATGGATAATAAAATTACTGAGGAGCGTATTTTCAAGGAAAGAGAGAGTGGAAAATACACAAATGAAGAAATATATATATATAAATCAATAAAAAAATATTACATTGGCTTTATCTGTAATGGGCCACGTTTAGCTTCGCTTGTTAGATTTAATATTTTTGTAATGATGCCTAGAGATATAGCTGTATTTATATCTTCATAGAGTTGATACTTATACTTTACTTCGCGTCTCTCCTCGCAATGCGATGCAAAAACAACGCGAATAAGTTGCGATGAGGCGTTTAATATTATAGAATTATTTCCGTACGAAATAATAAGAAGACTGTGCGTCGATATTTCGAAAATACGCGCGCGCGAATTTTAATGGACAGATACTTTTACAAGTATTTTTCTTTTCTCGCGATAATCTAAGAACACCAAGTGAGAGACGATTTCGTTGATTGAATTAATTTTAAGACGGGTCATTATATTCGTTAATCAAAGTAATACGATTCTAGCACAAATCTTGTCAATATGATGGCGAACTTGCTTTAGAAGAGACATGCATTCAAGATTCTCTGGTGCAATATACATATATATTTGCGTTATACATAAGTATGTACTTAAGTGATTTTGTTAGCGTCCGCGTTTACACCTCTCTTTAGAAGTAATGAAAAATGTATTGGATGTATATACACGATCGCTACTGACACTTTCGGCAACTGAGTCCCATGTTTGTATATAGAAACTTATATACACATGTATAAACGCCAAAAGAAGAGACAAGTGATGAGAGAAAAATATGTGTAACTATTTAATCCTTGTTATCTCAAAAAAATCCTAAATAATTCCTTAAACAATATTAGAAAAAATATGTTTCATGACACTTAATATATGGAAAATTAAATTTGTGGATTAGAAATGCAAAAGTTTCTTTTCATAAAAAATTAGACTAATTTCTAGGATATATTATTTTAAAAAAAACATCTCTTTATATTTTTTCATAAAGTTTTTCGCTAAAAATATTTACTTTCCAAATAAATCTTCTATTATTCTTTGGCAATAATAGAAGATTTTTAAAATTATACTATTTTAAGTAGTAATTACTCACTAATTTTGAGCTGATATATTAGCTTTATTATATTTTTTTTCTTCCTTTATAATGTCATCTATAATTTTTTGCTCTGATATATTAGCTTTATTATATTTTTTTTCTTCCTTTATAATGTCATCTATAATTTTTTTTGAAATATATATTCATTTCTGAAACTGATAATAATACAAATTTTTACAAAAATTTATTTAATAATTTTATTATTTCAATTAATTATTTAATATTTTAAATTTATTATATTTTCTCTCTTGTGTCATACGTGCCTCTTATAATTTTCTTATTAAAAATACATATAGTTTATTTCTAATTGAACTGATATAATGATACATTGACACTTTTAAAAATTTTTGGATTCGATTTACAAAACTTTTCAAAAGCAAATATATTTTATTGAAATTCAAAAACAAGCAACAATTATAAATTTGTATGTAATCGTGATGTAAATGTAAGGAAAAGACCAAACAATGGCCATCTATGTCAAACACCGCGTATCACCCGGTATCGCAGCAGCACGATACGAAACTTGCGAGAGGCGTGAAACGCGGACGCTAAATCGCAAAAGAGGAAAACGTACTTACCAAGCTGCGGCACCGACATGTACGTCTCGCAATCCACCAGGAACTGTCCCACCTGTACCGCTCCAAGGGCGACGACTCTTTTCGTGAGAAACTCGATCGTCTGCGGTCCGGTCCGGTTCTCGGTCATCGGAAACTGTTGCAGCCTGTCGAGCACACGTGCAAATTACTCTACTGTCGAATGCATTTGACAAACATTCTCGAATCGCAAAATGTTTCGCGATAACAGAGATGATGAATTGTACGAGAATCAAAGCGGCACATATTCGACATAACCTTTAAAAAGATGCGCATTAGTCTGACAAGTCGAGACACGTGTCGACAGTACGAGAGATGAAAAACTTTTGAAAATTCGTAAGCGAGGAAATTACTTACACAGTCACACCCATCGTATCAGCGCGTAAAGTTCCACCGTAACGTAAACACAGAGAAAAAGTCGCAAAACAGACCCGGCAGAGACTTGTTTACACTTGCGTTCACACTTGTGTTGTCGAGATGCCCGCGCGATTTGAAACGTCACGCCGACTCGGCCACGAATAAAGGTGCAATTTCATTGACGCTAGAAACCAACGGCAAATTAAAATCACTAGACTTTCTCTAGATTTGGCGTCAATAAAATAAAGTTCAAACAGTTTCAACTTTTTCAGTGTGTAAAGCGGCCTTTTCATTCACGCTACTTTTTAGCGTCAATGAAATTGCACCTTAATACCAGTTGGCAGCCCTACGAGATAGGCTGTGCAGCACTGCGCGTATATAAAATAAATTTGAAATCGCTTCTAGCCTAACCATCTTCACGCGATCGACTTTATTTGAATTGCACGGCATCGCATCGAATTATGATGCGGCGCCGATTTGTTCGAACGTAATTTGGGACATCGCGATGCTGTATAAGCGTCGAATGAGCACGAATTGTCACGCAAATATGATAAATCACATCTACTCACCGTTCACCGGCTGTTCCACAGGCCGCTCCACTCGTTCGCCTCGGGACGTCCCATTCCGATCTTGATGCACACGATATCATCAACGCGAACGCGCGACACTTTATTCGGCACTCCCGATATTCGCTCGCATCCGATAATCATCATCAAGGGCGCAAATAATGCGACGCAACTTCGCTCCATCTTCGCGATGACACCATCACTGAATGTCGTCAAAAATCACTGTCGCGCGTTTCCATCGATACACTATAAAAGTCGCGCGATCATTCTTCGACACTTTCGACGCTCGTTCACTCGCGATATTCGTTTAAAAACGGTTAAAAGACACGAAAAATGCGGACGTACAACGATCCGTGTAACTGCCGAACTGCGTATGACTCCAAGTCACGTATGACGCGTATGACGTAGCTATGACGCGTATGACGTAGCAGTCACGCGCCAACATGGCGGCCGAACCAGTGCGCACTGGTTCGGCCGCCATGTTGGCGCGTGACGTCATACGCGTCATACGTGACTCGGAGTCATACGCAGTTACACGGATCGTCGTACGTCCGCATTTTTCGTGTCTTTTAACCGTTTTTAAATGAATATCGCGAGTGAAAGAGCGTCGAAAGTGTCCAAGGATGATCGCGCGACTTTCATAATATGTCGGTGAAAGTGCGCGACAGCTATTTTTCACAGTTCAGTGATAGCGCGATCGCGAAGATGGAGCGAAGTCGCGTCGCATTATTTGCGCCCTTGATGATGATTATCGGATGCGAGCGAATATCGGGAGTGCCGAATAAAGTGTCGCGCGTTCGCGTTGATGATATCGTGTGCATCAAGATCGGAATGGGACGTCCCGAGGCGAGCGAGTGGAGCGGCCTGTGGAACAACCGGTGAACGGTGAGTAGATGTGATTTATCATATTTGTGTGAAAATTCGTGCTCATTCGACGCTTATATAGCATCGCGATGTCCCGAATTACGTTCGAACAAATCGGCGCCGCATCATAATTCGATGCGACGCCGTGCAATTCAAATAAAGTCGATCGCGTGAAGATGGTTAGGCTAGAAGCGATTTCAAATTTATTTTATATACGCGCAGTGCTGCACAGCCTATCTCGTAGGGCTGCCAACTGTTAAGGCGTCTTTAGATGGAAGCGTTTAGCGTCAAGCGTCGAGCGTCAAAAACACGTGCGCAGCACCCTTGCGCATAATTCTGAACAGGCAGATTCCAGCATCTTGACGCTAAAACCGCTAAAACAATGTCTAGTAACAAAATTTTAATAAATACGGTAGAGGTAAGTAGATTGTATATTCTTAATAGAAAATGTATTAATATATATAATATATAATAAATATAATAGATATAATAGATATAATAGATATCATTATACAATATATATTATAGAATTGCGCGATTAGTAGCGTATTACAACATAACCAAACAGAAGGAATAATTGGCATAAATATATGTTTTCTAAATACAACATGAATATTATTTATTACAATGTATTCTTTGTATAGGATATAACGTGTGGAGTGTGCACGTAACTTTTTTTTGTTTCTTATATTCATGATTAATAATGCTGCTGCATTCTAATAACCATTGATGATAACGATAATTAACTGACATTTTATTGATAATATTTGATAATATTTGATAATAATGATAATAATGATAATATTGATAATATTGATAATAATGATAATATTTGATAATATTCCGCAATTTAGATGATTTACTGACTGCTCCAGCGTTTCAACAAATCACTAGGCACACTGCGCATGTCACACTTTTTGACGCTTTAACGCTCGACGCTAAAACGCTCCCATGTAAAGGCACCTTTAAGGTGGCTTTACATGGCAGCATCAAACGTTGAGCGTCTGCGCAGAAAACCATTGCAGATATTGCGCAGGATTCAAAATGAGTTAGATTCTTCTTGCGTCGAATAACAAATATGACAAGTCACACAAGAAAGGGTTAGAAAGGGTTAGATATTCAGATATATAATAGTTATTAAAATTAACATTTAATAATATTATACAAAATACTATAACACTATTCTTTAATTAAATATATTATAGAACATTACTACGAATTTTAATATCTTATTATTCGCCATTCAAAGATTTATTATTATTATTAATTAACATAATTGACATGATATTTCAAATTACATACTACTGTTAGTTGATAGATCAATATTATGAGCATTATTTATTTGTTCAATTTTTTTATAATTCGTACTAAAATACATTACATTTTACAGAAAAATTATTGTTCTTTCGCTTAGATATATATAACATTATTGTTTAATACGTTAAATGAAATTATTGCAAATTTTATTTTTTTTAAATATAAAATTATTATAGATAGGAAAAATAAATATGTATATACATACAAACTTTAAACTATACTATATGTTAAATTATAAATATATATATATATATAAACATATATAAATATATAATTATATAAATATATAAGTATATAAATATATAAATATATAATACATGATAGTACAGTACTTGGATAATTACATAATGCACAAAATAAATATTCACGAAAAGACTGACCAATTATTTATCTAACATAAAAAATGTAGATAAATACATCTTTTAGATATATAATTGTTCGATTTCACGCTGCACTATGCATATATGCAGTATTCGATTGCAAATAATGTATGTGTAAGTTTATTTAGGACATCTTTAATAGTAATAAGCAAATCGATTAATTCTACTCAGAAATATAAATATTCTTAAAAAATGTAAATTATTTCAATTCGTTATTAATACTTAAACTTCATACGTATAGTGTGATAAAATCTCAAAAACTTACTCTTTGTTTACAACTTAACTTAAACTTCTAATAAACCATATATATACGCATAGTACAATATAAATTTTAAAAAATCTTAAATTAAAAAAAATGTAATATAAAAGTTATAATTCATCATTACTTGTCACTCGAGCAAAACGACTAATGTTTGGTATCCTTACGCTTCCTACAAACAATGGCATTCGGGTACGTTTATGTTCGATTGCGAACATAAACGGACGATTTACTATAAATCCCCACGATCGTCCCAATCGTTTGTTAGGCTTGTTCCTTTTTGATGTTTGCTTTACGTTAACAACTATAATCAATAACTTTATATTGTAATATTTACATAGTATTCGCTTAAACAAACTTTTGTTATTCGTAGCTTTATAAATTACCTTTCGCGGCAGGAAATTCCGATGCTTTTTCGTTAACTTCTACGATCACTTTTTGTAATACTCTGTTCACTTTTAGAGGAGATTTTGAGAGACGTTTAAAATTCGCCTGATCCTCAAACATCATATTCAAACCAATCTACAAGTGCAAATTTTTATTTGTAGAATTTATCCGAATTCTCTTACAATCAGTATCGCAAAGTTTGATATACCTTACGTAAAACATTTTCTAAATCTATAGTAATTTCAAACTTAAATTTAGGTAGATATAATAAAATAGGACTGGGGAATCTTAGTGTATTTATCAATGTTTGCCAATTAAAAGTATTTTCCAGAACCTTTAGTGTTATTTCTTTATCCGGTAATAATATTATCATTACCATGTCTTCATTCTAAAATATACGATTAAACATTATTCATGAAAACTTTTAAAATGACAATTATTACTTGCCAAGTACGGGATTTCGATAAAGCTGCAACGCCAACTTTCTATTATGCCATATTTATATATTGAATTTTTAAACATTGTCGGCACAAAATATTTTTGTGTTTTAGAAACGTGAAACATGTGTTCTTTTGTATCCTTTTCATCAAAAATGTCTAACCATCTGGGTTTAAAGTAGACAGTATTTACCAACACAAATTTTGTATCGTCGTTGATATATTCTGTTCAAAATATTTAATTATTGAAAATGTTTTGTATAATTCTTTGTTATTATTTTATACATTTGATTGTTAGTCAAATATATCTGAAACAATATACCTGGTAAAATTACGTCGGATATCTTATTATTTGTTATTACTTGAATGGCGTAGTTAATATATTGAGCATTATCGATATATTCGAAATCTATATATGAAAGGAAAGATATAAAATTATTACTGTATGTGTGTGTATATATCGTCAAAAAGTCATCCATAATTTCAATTCCTTCTTGAACATAAGCCGTGTTTGTTATCTGCAACTCATTGTTTTTAATATCCTAAAACACATTTAAATGTACCATTTTATTTAAAAAGAATCATTCAGCTTTTGTGCGTGTTATTCATCTTACACTTAATAAAATTATTAAAGCTTTCAATTCGTTGTTAAAAGATATTTCATCCTTGAAGTGAAGAACAGATTTTAATTCATCCAGTGTGGATCCTTCAGCGCCATTAAAAAGTAAGGACAACATTATATATACGTTTAAAGGAGAAATTACTATATTCATCTCGGCACTTATATAAGCTAGTCTCTATGATATAAAACATAAGTTGAAAAATTAAAAAACTTATAGCTTATAACATATCTTAAATGCATTAATTACGTACCTTGTACAATGGACTTGCAAAATTGTTACACGCTAATGATATATTTTCAAAATTATTTTGTTCTTCATTCGCTAACGCATTTTCACGAGATATGGCTATGCTTGTATCAAATACAGTACTAGTGACGATAATCGCAAACAACTCTGTAATACATTTGACAAAATTAAACGAGAGCTACTATATTTCAAATAATACTTTATTACATTAAATATAGCTAATAGTGTACATTAAATGTAGATATATATAAATATATATGTATTATTATATAAAACTATATAAGAGAAAACATTTTTCCAATATGACGTAATCATACCTATCCATAAAAACATTATGACAGTTGTGATTGTATGGTATATGTATGAAATATATTTCGAGTAAAATGATGGAAGAATTACTAAATTATTATTTATATATGCGTATTAGATATAGTAGCTTTCTAGTTCTTTTTATCTTGTTTGTCAAGTTAAAAATCAACTGTCATTTTAAATGATTAGCTCTATAATACTTTGAAAAAGTTGAAAAATCCAAAAATTCGAAATTTGCACACATATATATTATTCAATTTTTATCGAAAATTCTTTCTTTATTTCACATAATTTAAATGTTAACTGCTTGATCCCTCATTGCTATGAACAAAACAACTGTCAAAAAAATTATGAAAAGAAAACATGTTATTTTCGCACAAAATTCAAGTAAATTTTACACAATTTTACAGATGATCTCGAATTAACAATGTCTCCAACGGTTTACAACTTTTGGAAAAAATTCCCATGTATGAGATTTGCAAATTTTCTCGTGCGATATTTTGGAACAATTACAGTGGAACACTAACACAGTACTGATGATAGCACACTGTGCTATTTTGAGTTTTTTACACTGTTATTATGTGTCTCTGTATCTAGCAACTGTCATCAAAAGTATCACATAAAGGACACTGGAATTATAAAGAAAAAGGATAAAAATTGTATGATAAAGTTTTTTTACAATATTTTGTAACCTATCTTTAAATCGAATAAAGTTGTGGATAATCATATGTTTATATTAAAACACAAATAATCTTTTCATGCGAAGTTACGATTTATTAGTTTATATATATATATATATATATATATATATATATATATAGTCATAGAAAATGTATATAATAAGAGATGTAAAAATTGTAAAAATTTATTTCATATGCATATTAGTTTTATTGTAACTAATTGTTTCATTATAATTAAAATATTGCAGAAACATTATTTTCATTAAAACAAATTTTGAAAAATAATATTAATTATAAAAATTAAGTAATATTTCGTACATTTTTATACAAAAACTATTATTTTATTATATAAAGTAAAACATAATAATAATATAAAAAAATTTATCTTTTTTTATATGATTTTATGTAATAATATATTATAATTTACAAGCTATTATGATGAATATTATAATTTTCAGACGATAACTTTTTTTATTTATAAGAAAAAGATCGTATATATGTAGAACGTTATTTTTTAAGAAATGTATAAACAATATATGAAAAATATATAAGCAAAAAATTATAATATTTAATCAAATCTCTTTCAAACTATAGAGGATCATAATTTATTGTTTTCTTTTTTTTTACAGCATCAGCCATTTTGACGCAAAGTCAACTTTATCGACACCTTGTATTTAGTAATACTACGCGCCGTAAGATGGCAACACTTAAGCGACGTCATGAGCATACGCGTCTGGAAAATGGCGATATCTGTTGCGACTGTTCTAAAGCACTTTTTCGCTCGTGATAGTTGACCGGTAGCAGTGTATTTCGGGGACGATACGAACGAGTGAGCTAGTGTGATTCGAATGTACGAACGGAGAGCTTCGCAGTCGGGTGAAGAGAACAACAGTTGGATAACGACCGGTCGTCGATTTTCGTCGCAGAAAGCACCTTTGAAATCAGGTTAGTGCACGATCGTCAATATGTGTATCACGCGGGGATTGAAACTGCAGCGTTATTGCGGCGAGTTCGATTTGCGATGCTACGAAAGTTTCGGATAGAATGCATCTCGCAACAATCGTCGTGTTTTTTCTATCACGAATATGCATAAAGACCATTCTCGCGTGACTGTTGAAATTCGAGCCGGAAAAGTCTGTCATTTTAAATCCCCGCATTCATCCGTATTTGGACATCGAGATGACATTTTTGTTATTCAAGATTTCATATTTTAATTTTTTATTTCCATTGCGCGCGACTATTGTTGCCCACGCGATTTTGATGTTTACAAACGAGTCTGTTTCCCACGTCTGAATTAAATTAATTTATTAAGATATTCTTGCGTGAAAATTTTTTACGTAAAATTTTTAATATCAGATTATAATATCGTTCAAAATAACGTTTTTTTTTTAACGAAAAGGGGAGAATTATTCACGATAATTTTTTTATGTGGTTATAATTTTGATTTTAAAATTATCCCATTGCGTCACAATTTTGAAAAATTAAAATTGCAAAGGAGAGCTATTTCAATTGTAATTTGTTATATTATTGTTATTGTACAGTAGCGTATTGAAGAAATTTATTATATTGATTATAATCAAGAATGAATTAATGACGGATTAAATATGAAAATACTATGGTTTAAAATCAAGAATATTTCTAATTATATTATTATTAGATGTAATATATAATTATTTAATAATTTAATAATTAATATATAATTATATAATTATATTATTATATTATTATTAGATTATTACATTATTATTATATGATTATATATTATATATTATTATTATATGAGACCCTTGTCTGGAAAAATTTTGAATCAAATTATTGAGGGTCAAATAATATTTAATTATTAAATAATTTTTATATTATTTAAACTTAAGGTCACTGAATATGCGAATTTGATATTAAAATTAACAGATTAAAAATATATACGCAATTCCATTTTAATTCCGTTATTTTTAACCAATACCAATTTTAACAAATCAGATTTATATTCGAACGAAAAATTTAAAAATAAGTTGTGAATAAACATAATTGAAAATTATTTGGTAGATTTGGCAGAAATGTGATTCGTCCGTGAACACGATTTACAGTATCGAATTTGTTCCGCGGATCGCAATCGCGCCAGGTCGCGTGTGTCAATATTCAGATGTGTATGTAAACATTCCGGCGGCGGATAACGAAGCCGAGTGCGAGAACATTGTAGGTTCAAATATGTATATATCGTCATGTTTCTCGTATGTGCTTGTTAAATCATAACGATTGCGCCGTGTTAACGCGAGAATTCGCGACGCGCTTTTTATTTGCGTTAACGAATCACCTAAATGAGAATCGCAACCTTTACAGAATAATACCGAAAAATTATCGATGCTTGTATTATTGCGAATGTCACACGTGACCGATTGTTATCCAGAACGATATCTATAATACGTGCAGATTCATCTGTTTCGTTAACACACTGGAGATTCGCTGTCCAATTTCCTGATCCAATCCTTGATAGAATCCCGCCCACAGTAAACGACATTTCGTTCTCGTTCATATAGAGTTATAGAGGAAACGTCGTTGCGGAACACGGGAGTAAACGAGGGGAAAATTAAGGAGAACACGGCGGACAAGATGAGAATGGTAATGGAAAAAAATAGACATTGACCAAATTTGGACATTATTTTTCAATATTCGAAACCTCTTATCCTTATCATAATGATAAGAATGATGAATCATTTTTATTATTATTATAAGAGATTATAGTTGTCATAAAAATAAAATGTACTATTACGATAATATTTTATCTTTATGACAATTATATCCTTGTAATAATAATAATAATAAAAGTGATCATTAATTCGGGTAATTTTCTACTTTTGAATCTTCCAACACGAGGAAATATTTTGTCAACAAAAACATTATAAAATAATAAATCAAAACATTATAAAGTAATAAATAAAGTGACGCATAATAGAATAAAAATAGTTTTATATTTTTCGCTTAATTTTCTTGTTTTCAAGTTGTACGTCGTGCTCTAATTTATAATCTTGAAATTCCCCTGTAATAATAAAGTCCTTCCAACGGACGTAATAATAACGTAAGAACTGTGTTCTCTCGGTAATAATTCTTTTCAATGGTACGTCCTTAAGTCTCGTGGAGTGCCGCGACGGTGATTTTGATGCACCGGATATAGGTGGGGAAGAGTAACTCGCTGATCATGAGGAGAGACCAACTAGCATTAGGTAGAGAAGGAAACGTAATATAACAAGATTCCCGTCTCGTTACGCGTTGTCTGTTACGGGAGACGAAACACTCGTCTATGTTTGAATGCCTCGTTTTCCGGATGAGAAAGGGTGCTTGCTCTCTGCGAAGGACAAGAGCGTGCGAAGACTAGAAAATTATTGTTAAAATCATTAAACGTACCGATGGGCAGAGCGCCGAGATATTCTTTTATCATGATCCTTGACCCTCTTTTACTATCGCCTGCCCTCTCTTGTCTAAAGCATTGTTTATCTAGCGCACTGTGTGTTTAGCATATAAATTTTTTACAACGTCACTTGACGTCGAAAATTAGTAGCAGTCTGACTTCTTAATATCTCTCTTCAACGGTAACGAAAAAAGAAATTAAATAATTCTCCGAATGTGAATAAATTTTCTTTTCTTTAAGAAAAAACGTCCTCGACTCCAAGTTAAGCAAAAAATTGATCTCAGACGGCGAGGATTGTTTCTTTTTTTACACCCTACGTAGCAAAGTTATGCTTCCGGTACTTGTTTCAGATTATAGCAAGTTTGTTTACTTTCTCACATCCAAGTCGTATTAAAGAGGGGGGGGGGGGGAACGAAGGAGATGGCGAGGGATCCGCGAAGGATCTCTAAACATCCCTATCGCTGTCCGAAATTCGGAAATCAAACAACAGGTCGAGTAGCACGCACAGGCGGACGTGCGAGATCCACGTCCCGGACGACTAATCCCCTGGCCCGGGGCCAGTAAATACGCATAAGTCAACTCACGTACACGCGTCGCTCGATGCACACGAATGTGTTCATGTTCGCCAACCCGATGGCCGATGGTGAAGTTTCGAGCCCCGCTCCGGCTCTCTCTCTTACACGCTTCTCTGCCGAGTTATTTATACCGGAATATGGCTCGAGAGAACGCGCCCGTCGAGAGGAAGCGAGAACGCGGCTCGGCTCGCGAACAACGATTTAATTGCGTCCAAATTCGATCCGACACGTTGTCTGGGATATACAAACAGAATGAAACGTAGGGCAGAATCGATAGCGTATAACGTTTGTCTTTCCATCGTTAAAATTCTGACGAGTTCTTTGGTTTCAATTGATTTTGCGGCAACTATGCTACCATCGAAAATTCAAATACGAGGAATAAATGAATCAAATTTTTTCTCTTTTCAAATTTGAATAGAATATTACATCAGTCTTAAAATGCAACTTTATACACGAGTCACTGTCAAAGTAAACGAATCATGTGTAAGAAGATTTCGAGATTAAACTGACGCGGACTAAATTTATAAATAACGGTTTAGATACACGTTCCAATATTACACACAAACTTAGCGTTACTATATCGAAATATATATATATATATATTTCTGACTTATACCTTGACACACTTGTGTCCTCAACGACAAGAATAGTCAATTTAACGCGAGTAATTGGTTCTCGCAATCGTCGTTATAAATCTCATCTCGCGCATAACGCGTGCCAAATAAAATAATATGAATCCCTTATCTACATGTCAGTTTTAATATCAAGTTATTTTGATCGTCGATTAGATTAATACAATTTCCAACTAATCAGCGATACCGCTTTGCGGGGGTAACTTTCACAATCGGATCTTATCTTCGCGCAGCATCCAGACTCGAGAGCGATTAATGTTGCGAGGAAGAAAGGGGGTGGGGGAGAGATGACAAAACGCGAGCGAGTTAAGAATGGATCAGAAGTGCCGCGCGAAATGGGAATTAACGAGCGTGCGATTAACCGGGTTAATGGACGAAAGCACGCGATACTACGACACTTCGCAAGGAGACGGGTTGTTGACCGGCTGACTGACACTCGACTCTTCATCTGGGGCACCCACGCCGCTCCCCTCATCAACGATGCTCTCCCGACGCGCCGATCGACGCGGCGATCTTATTCCGTGTGACGTAAGAAACGTGGAAGGAATACCGATGAGATTCGTTAGTCGATGTTTCCGGCAAAAATTCTCTCAACGAGAAACCTTCCGCTAAAGTAATCAAAATTTTATCTCAATTGAACTTTTGGTAACGAAAATTATTACTTATTGTTCACTTGAAAATAAATGGATAGAATTGAAAAAAATCAATCTCAAAAAATTAAATTAAAAATCTATCAGACAGATCTTGAGTACAAAAAATTTGTTTCGATATTTTATTGATAAAAAAATTATATAAAGCTATTTGATAATCAAATTTTGATAATTGACTTTTTATATTCTTTGTTTTAAATGTGAAATTTAACTTATCAAATTATATTCAACTTGTATAATTTTTATACTATAAGATTGACAGAGGCTTCTTACATTTAAAACCGATCAATTTTTTCAACTGTGTTTATTTGTTACAATTTTTACATCTTTATAAGAGTCTTATTTATAAAATACAATATCGATACAAGTTTACAAACGATTTTGTCAGTTGCATGAGCGGAGAGAAAAACGATTCGCGGAAAACGAGGACACTTTAAAATAAAACAATGATGTAACAACAACAAAAATTTGCATCAATTATGCGTTCAGCGATGAGATTGGCAATTTCATCGAAATTCGTCGCTAATATCGGTTTAACGTCGCGTTTAATGTGCAAACCTTTTAATTGCTGAATTCAATTTACGTGTATTACCGGTACAGTTTCTGTGTTGTGAGAATTTTATTCACGATTTCGCACGAGAACACGGCCAAACTCCATTTCGCTCAAGAGAATACATATCTAAAGTAGCAGAAATCCTATTTCTCGAGATTTTACACGCGCGGTCTGATATATTAAGGAACTGATATATTAAGGAATAACGTAAATCAGCCCCTATTTCCCTCCGGTTACGTCTCGTCTAGTGTTTTACGGCTCTCGCCTTTAACGTATTAAAATAAAAGTATTGTCGGACCATCGTTAGGCGGCGGTAAAAATGGCGAAAACTATAAATTACGTACGTGGAGATATAAAAATGGAAAGTAGCATAGTGGCAGGGGGAAAGAGGGCGAAGGAGAGAGTAACGTGATAACGCGAAAACGTTTTGCGCCGAGTCGTTATACATTCAAATAGTATGCCTCGTTATGCGAGCGAAGCTCCTCGCGCGATGAGGTTCCTTGACCGAATTGTTCGCGTCGCGGAACATTTCCAGCCGAGGAAAGCGGACGTGCTTTTCGCGCACGCACCCGGAGCACTTTTCCGCAGGACGGAAAAGGCGCGCCGCACACGAGGCGGAACAAGGGTTTCCCCTCTCCCCCGCCCCGCGCCGCCTCCTCCCCTTTCTCTTCCCAAAACAAAGTTACTCGGAAAAACGTACGGTGTTTCTCCTCTCGTTTAATCAAAAACGGAGAACGCGCTTTCCACTTATTCCCGCGTGAATCGTGCCGTGAACTAGCTAATTAGCCGGTACAATTCGTTTATTAATCGCGATCATCGGGCCGAAAAAGGCGCGTCTCGTGCGATTCCCCGTATTATGCGTGCAATTAAGAGAGGCTGCACCTAGCTCTCGATCGCCCGTCGTGCGGCGCCAACGAGCATCCGGAAAAAAAAGGGACGCGAAACGGCGTCAAGGAACAATATAGCATATACGCTATTGTTCTCGCGTAATGGCCGGGGGAACGGAAGAGGGGGAGGGAGGGAGGAGGACCGGGATTCAGGATGTCAACGTCATTATGGATGCATGCGGATCCCGACGAGCAGCATTAACCCACTTTTGCTCAATCGCAAAAGGCGATCTCGCCGATCGGGCCGGGTTCATCGTCTCTCTCCGCGCATTCGCGCGCTTAATTGCGCATCGCGCTTTTGTTAAGTCGAATGCATATTATGTGTTAAATATTCTCACGCGTCTCTCAAGCGAAGCGATATATATACTGACCATTGTGGCATCGGATTATCACTGACATTCAGCCAACGTAAGAATATTTGACGTTGACATTACGTTGACGCGACGCTGATGAACATCCAGTGCTATTCCGGTCGACGAAACGCTCGATTTCGCCCATCCGTCCATTCTCGATGACGTTGCTGTAAATAGAGACGCGTAAGAGAGACGAAAATAAAAAGAGGTGGAAAAAGCGGGATTAAAATAGTGAAATCGATAATGCATAAAATAGAATATCACCCCCCACGTGTTCTTGTTTTTTTACGTCTCGTTTCTCGATTTGTCCATGAATTCACAGGATATACGGGCGCGCGAATCCATCGCGATTTTTTTGTAACACCGCACTCGTCCTCGCCAACCGTGCGTTGCGAGGGAAACGCGAGGGCCGCGTAACTCGAAGGACTGTCGAACTAACCGCGCTCTCGCCGCAATTTGCATGCTAACTCGCCTTCGACGCCGTCTCTTCCCTCTAGAGGCAACTACCAATTTCTATGCCGATTGTTTCCTTATACTAATTCCGCTTCGCCGGATTCCAATCTCGCGTCGTTCATCCCTCTTCCGGTCGATTTTTACCCGCGCGTAAGGATGGCTACGCGATTTCTCTTCGAGAGGAATCACGTCCGTTGCACGAAAATTTCCTAGTGGAAATCGCAAGAAGATTCCTTTTGAGCTCGCGAGCTTCCTCGACAGACTTACAGAGCAGTGAAATTCCTCTCGTCCTGGAAATCCTTTTCGTCCCGCGTTCCGCCCTGTCAGAAACGAGATTCGTGCAAGCTCGAGTCGAAATTTTTCTCCTACTTTTCATCTCAATTTTCAATCCAACATTTACTCCGATGCTTTGAGCAGTCGAATCATTTTCTTTTGAGAGTATTCGATTTATAGTTTTGCTGAAGGATCCTTTTTTAAATCTTTAAATAGGAAACTGTTTGTGTGCTGTTTATACGAGTTAGTAAGTAGTAAAGTGGGAATTCAATTTCTGTATAATTCTGTATTAAGCCTATCGAAGCCTATCTTTTAGAATCCACGAAAGTGAGAAAAAATTGAGATTAAAAATAAAAAGAAAATTTCGACTGGAGAGTGTAGAAGAATATATGGCCCATATGGTGTGAGTCACGCAGCCTTCATGTTTTCACGTGCGTTTACGAAATCAATTGCGCATGTCGACGCATCCGGTCTTGGCTTTGCGGGAGCCTTAAATATCGATGCCTCACCTCATATTATTTTCCAGTGACCGTATAACGAATCGTTAAATTAATCAGAGTAATTCATTGCCCTTTTAGAGACAAAGAGCGCGTGTCTTAAATTTCAAAATTTCATATAAAATTCACGAGCGAATATAATATAATATCTGTCGTGTACATCTTTTCTTTCGATTTGCATTTAGAATCCCTTTTGTTGGATGTGCGTGGAATTAATAATAGGTATCCGTTATTATTGACATTTATCATACTTATTTGCCCATTATAATGAAATTAATTGATCGCGGCATAAATATTTGATTTCCTCATAGCAAAATTCTGAAAGTCGTATCCGACGATGTCAAGTAACATCTGCGCCAAACTGCAGCAATGCGGGACAAATATTTGATCCTTGTATTTGCATCCCGATGCGTATCACTGCATCGTGACATCAATAGTACGATGTTATATAAGTTACGAGGCTAGAATCAATTGGGTCACGCTTTTCATCTTGATTTAAGGCATTTACATCGCCGAAAGGGACAATCGTGTACACAGACAGACGTTTGCGCGATACGGAATTCCGGAATCGAGACGACGCGCAGCGCACTAACAATAAGAGAAACACGCATTGTCTATGTACTCCTTGTACCGTCGAGATCATTTTCACCAATGAGAACGTCGTGTCCTATTTACAGCATACGTACGTCGAACTCGTTTATTTCCGCAGTTGATTATCGAAGGAACTCGAAATAATTCGCGAAACTTGAATTTTTTCTCCTATTTTTCTGCAATTAATAATTTCATTTATTTCGATATTTTCGATACAATTGCATCCTTTTTTGCAATTATTTAATCTACAACTTTTTGTCAAAAGTTATTTTTTTAAATCTCTGAGAAACTGTTTGTCTGCCATCTATTTGAGGAACAAAATAAAGGCTCAATTCCTAATATCGATTAAGCCTATTAAAATCCTCTGGAATAAAGTAAGAACATTAATATCGAAGATTAAGGAGATAAATTTTAACTCGAAGCTTGTTATTTTTATAAAGCAATTTCCGAGCATTTAAACACACTGTACACGAATCATAACATGAATGTAGTGATGTGTGTTAGCAATCTCGATAGAGATCAAACATAAATAAATTGTTTCAAAGTCAAATACGTATAGAGGACTGACGTATCATATATATGATTATATATTTATTATTATATATATTTTTTTAATTATATATTTGATTATTGCCTCCCAATAAAAGTCAGTTTCCTGCGCAAACATTTAAAGATTAGCTTCTAAAGTTTTTTGCGAACGTAAAATGGTAGTCGAGGGTGGAAGAAGCGAGCGAAACGATTCCGGACTAGCGAATACGAAAGTTGCTAAAGCACGACCACCGGCGGCGATTCGAAAGAGAAAAAACTACGCCTTCCGGGCGGTTTGGAAACAACGTAAGTGTCTGCAACTTTCCTGACCTGACTACAGCGGGATTGACTCTGCTCGCGTCGCGTTGCTACGCGAAAGAGGCGAGGCTACTAAAAATAGTTTACAGACTCCTCTCGTTACTCTCTCGCGAAACCGACCGACTTGGAGAGGCGGAAGAAAGAAAAGGGGAAGAGTAGCGATACTCGGTGATGCATTGCGTCCGTGATCCTCATTGCTGCACAGAAATGTTTTCTCGATTCTAATCATCCTCTAATGAAATTGACCAGACCGCTATCCTTATCGATCATACGCGCAATCCTCGCGAATATCATGTGATAACATTTTTGCGATAAAATTTTCTTGAAATACAAGAAACATGAAACGCAATTCATTTTTGCCGCAAGAGTATATATTATTATAACAAAAAGTAATTATATAGTGGTAGCATAGAAATAAATAATAATAATTCGGGCATAATATAATAGTAGAATAGTAAGAAAATAAATATATTAATTTTAATAAATAAAGTATTACAGATTAATTTTCCTAAACAATTTATTTAAAAATTTATAATTATTAATTATATCAAGCATGAAAAATAATTGATATCGTTTATAAATATAAAGGAGATGTGGATTATATACGCGTGTGGATATCCAACATTATTGAGATGTCCCAGATGCATTCGACGAACCAATTCCCCCGAAATATCGTTAAAAATGTTTCGAACATGAAACAGCGCGAATAAATTTTGCCTGTCTGTCAGGATACCAGCAGATCTTTATTGATTTAACTCGTAGGTTTACGTTAAAAAATACCGCGAAGCACGCGCTAATAGATGGACGTTTAGCACATAAATTGAATTAAATCGCACGGATTCCAGCCGCGAGCTAATGAAATTGTATTCGTGGAATAATGGATAAACGATTATATTAATCGATCACCTTTTATTTCTCCACTTTACTGCCGGTTCTTCCGGCTTAAATATTCAACCGTCGCGTGATATTGATTCATCTTCTATTTTTGAATGTTTAGCAACGCGAATTGATTCGCGATAAAACTAAGATCTCGAAAATCAAGGCTGTCAATAAAATTATACGTACATTAATATATATGAAAATTGAATTTACATGAATCAATTAATAACAATATCTAATTTTATTCCAGCCAAGTTCTTTTTCAGATAAATTTTCTTTAAAGAATTTTATTGGAAGATATTTCTTCGTTATATATACGAATTATATTGTGTGAGATTCGCATAAATCAAAATGTACGTATATAATGAATCCCATGTATCGCACATAGAATTTCGCGAAGAAAAGGGGATAGATCGCAAAGGTTCCGCGTAACAAGTTTGAAAACTAGTGCGCCACGTAATTAGCGGTATCTATCGTTTATCTCATTTGCTCCAGGTGAGCATGCACGTGACGTTTCATTATAAGTTCACTTCGCGTTACTCTAAGCTTATTATAGTTAGTCCGCACCGGGGGTTAACGAGAAACACGGATAAACGTCAAGCTAATGCGCGAGATTAAACTTGTACGATGGTTATAAATAACATTAATTTTATCGTGACGTAGCTCGAAGCTCCGACTAACTTAAGCTACTCTACATTATGTCTATCATACTATTTTAGTGAAACACAGTCTTACACATCTTTAATTACATTACATATCTTTAATTACATTACACCGTTTAATTATTAAATTAAGCGATTCAATTCAAACGTTGGAAATTTGTGTAATTTTAATTTCGCCACTCTCTCTCTGTTTCGTATTCAGTGGCTCGAATATTTACATCTCTTCTCGCTGAATCGGGGATCGGCTCTCTCTCAGCGTGCAAAATAATTACCGCATTATTGAGGCGTCCCGGTAGGAGCTGTCCGGCGATATTTGACTGGAGCTTTCGCGAACACAGGGAGAGGCTGCAACGCGGTCACGTGAACATTCGTGGGCATTCACCCCGGCAGTCTCAGAATAACTGCATACCTATTTGTCCTGACTAAGCAGACAGTGGCGCACAGACGAAATTATATATACGTCGAGGTAAGTTCACGAAACCGCAAGCACCAAGCGCTTCGATATCGCGCCTCGTTTGAATATTCAGGAAATTATGCGAGAGAGTATGCCGGAGTTTAAAGACGCGGATGCCGATCTCTACAGCAATACCGTTCTCAGGTGCTGAGAATATCGCTAATATTTCTCGATGCCGCAACAAGAGAAACGGAATCCAGACAGATCGACAATTTGCACGCGCAAATCCATCTATCCTCGATAAGCTTGCGAACGGAACAAGATCGTCCCTGAAAGTCACTGGTACACGGAAAAAGAATAAGTGTCGAATCAAAACTTATATCCTTAAATTAACGCGTTTATTGTTTCGTATATGTAACAATATGATAATTGTTGTCTCAAGAATATATAATTATTTAATTGTACTTTAAGAAAATTATAATCTTTGATTTAAAAATATTATTTTCCATCCAACATTGTTTCTTTTCCATTCAAGAAAATTAAATCTTAAATCATAAGAATATATTTTTCTTGATTTAACTACATCAAATGGTTCAGTCAACCAAGTTTTCTTTAATTAACGCAATATAATCTCGAGATTTCCATGTTGGACCTAAAGATAGTTTCAAAACAAGAATATCCTTTTTTTTTCTGTCGCGAAATGACATCGTCAAACGAGTCTGTCACGAGCATTATTTGCAGTTTATTTCGGTACTGCAAACCGATTCCGAGAAAGCTTCAAATTGACACTCGACAAGTGACGGGATTCTCGATGATATCGACATCGCGAAATCGCGTTCGAGCTACAAGTGCCACTCTGTGGCACATGTAATAATAAAGGCGTGCGACTTTTCGATAACGAGCCTCCGCTACGAGATATATATATA